CCAGGTCGTCTCCCAACTTCCTCTTGCTTCCTCTTCCCCACACTAGGCCCCTATTTCTGTTCTTCTACTTCTCTCCAGATTTACTTTCAAGAAGAGATACGTCATTGGCAACCTAGAGTACAAATGACAACTCCAAGGGCCACACAACTGCCCTCTCCAAGTAGTTCTACAGAGACTCCAAGAGAGGAAATGACTGGCCCAGGATCACATAGCAAGTAGGTGGCAGAGCTGGGCCTCAGGCTTGGGACTCCAGGGTGATGGAAAATTCTGAGCTTGCCAGTTAATATGGCCTGAGTGAGAATGGGTGTGGGATGGTGGTGGCAAAGGGAATGATTAGTTGAGTGTCACAGAAGAAGCTGCCCCCTGGCCTAGGTCATCACAGCCCTGGCTGCAGCTGTTCCATCAGGCAGCTGAAAAAGATTGACTTGTGTTTGGAGAAGCCTTAAAGAGACAGAAACACAGGTCGTATTTCCCCTCAAAGGCTCTGCCCATCTTCTACAGAAGGGCAATCTTAGGTTGGCTCTAGAAGCTAGGAGCTTAACATAACCATTCTGAGGCCTCCTGATAAACTGGCAAGTCTGTCAGTGCTGTTGCTTCAGAACAGGTTTAAGAGGGCTGAGGCAGGACTTGTATTTTTCAAAAACTCCCAAGCCTTTGTCACGAGCATCCTCAAGACTTGCTAAATATGTCCCTGAGTTTGCTGCTCTGCAGGAATTGGTAACCATTCCCTCTAAAGGAAATGGAGGTGGTGTGTGTGTGTGTGTGTGTGTGTGTGTGTGTGTGTGTGTATGTGTGTACGTGCCCGTGCGTGATCAGTTTGGGAGAGGACAGTGCCAGGGAAAGCCACCTGCTTGGTTAAAAGGTGGTGAAGTTAAATCACTTGATTTAGGATGGCACAAATGTGCTCAGATCAGCAAGAAGGCTTTTCTGGGCTTATTCAGCTGCCTTGGGCAGCAATGATAACACAGAAACATCGCAAGGGCAAGCTCATGTTGGCAAAGAAGACATCTGAGGTTTTTTTTTTTTTTTTTTTGCGGCACGCAGGCCCCTCACTGCTGTGGCCTCTCCCGCCATGGAGCACAGCCTCTGGACGCGCAGGCTCAGCGGCCATGGCTCACGGGCCCAGCCGCTCCGCGGCATGTGGGATCCTCCCAGACCGGGGCACAAACCCGTATCCCCTGCATCGGCAGGCGGACTCTCAACCGCTGCGCCACCAGGGAAGCCCCATCTGAGGTTTTTTATAAACTCTCCCAGATATCAGGCCAGATATGGTTTTGACAGTTAGACAAAAACCTTCTGCCACCATCTCAATTCCTCCTGACACAAGATCATCCTCAAATCCAGCTTTCCTAACATTCCATAGATGGTCTTATCTGCATTGCTAGGGAATCAGGGGACTTGGCCAGAATCATCTAAGAGATCTATCTCCCTACCCCCGCCACTCCTCCGTTTTTAAAATACAGTTTTGCTTCTTTTTTTTTTTTTTTTTGCGGTACGCGGGCCTCTCACTGTTGTGGCCTCTCCCGTTGCGGAGCACAGGCTCCAGACACGCAGGCTCAGCGGCCATGGCTCAGCAGCCATGGCTCATGGGCCCAGCCGCTCCGCGGCATGTGGGATCTTCCCGGACCAGGGCACGAACCCGTGTCCACTGCATCGGCAGGCAGACTCTCAACCACTGCGCCACCAGGGAAGCCCCTGCTTCTTTTTTTTTTTTTTTTTTTTTCTAATTATACAAGATATTATACAGATGGAGTAATGTGTATTTATTGTAGAAAATTTGTAAGGTTTGCCTTTGAGCCTCTGTAGGATAAATTAGAAGAAGTAGAATTAGTGGGTCAAAGATCTGTCCATTGGGCAGCCTCAAATTACACTCCCACCTGCCAAGATAGCAATGCCCACTCACCAACATTAGGTATTAATCATGTTTTAATGTTTGTCAGGTTGACTGAAAAAAATCAGTATCTCATTTTAATTCACATTTGCTTGGTTTTGAGTGAGACAGAGTATTTTTACATATTTTCTTGGAAAATGACAGCTGAGCTGCTGCTTTCCCTTTCTCAGGGCAGAGATAAGTCCTTTTCCTTCATTTTTTTCTAATAAGACCTTGTGACAAGGAAGCCTTGGGAGACTGGATAGGGTTCTTGGGCTAGCCATCATGTATAGGGAAACTAAGCTGGTTATACCCTTTAAACAAAAGTTCCAGTGCACACAAAATCCTCAAGGGTGCATTTTTACTTTGGAAGTGGTGTGTGTGTGGTAACTTAGAAACTCAGTGGTTTCAGACATTAGAGTGATGTAATATTCTCAGGAAAGTGTGGTGAGGGCAGCCATCTGTGTGTCCCCTGCAGTTGGCCCAGGGCCTGACATATCGTAGGCACCCATAAGCTGTGCTGCCTCTGTGCTGAAGGACAACCTTCTATAACTCCAAATGGACTATCTATACAAAATAATAATTGTACCCATTTATTTAGAATCCCTTGGAGTTAATTTTAGTTTAAGTATGAAACAGCCATCTTTATATCCAGGAAGAGAGATATTGCAAATCCTTACTTACTGGTAGAACTTCCAGAAAGGGCCAAGGGTGAGTGGCGGTATGAATATCATATCAGAGGCAAGTCTGACAGGAGCTGTTTTATGGCAGCCATGTCCTTGGATCCAGGTGGGCTGGCCAGGCTCCCCAGGTAAGCCAGTGTGTCTTCCTTCCAGAAGACCACCTTTTCAGGGCTCTAAGTGGCCTTTTCTGGTCGTCTCCTATTTTTCTCTGCCTCCAGGGAAGACTGCACTTGATTTATCAGAGATAATAGCTGAGTTCTAGTAAAGCAATTCCAGCAGGCCATAACTGGAATTCCACAATGGAAGGGACTGAGGAGATATCTGGTGTCCTGGTTCTCAACCTTTCTCAGCGTACCAACCACTAACTATTGTGGTAACCATCAGTGGCCGTGCCAATGTAATTGTCAGTTCAAAGCCCAGTGGTTGGTGGGGAGCCAATGAAGTCTTTACAGCAGCAATTTGAGCTGTAGAAGGGTCACCTACCTGATCTGTAGAAGCAGAGCAACTAGGGCTAAGTTGAAGTCACAGGTGGGGAGACCAGATGAGAAGGTTGCAGTGGAGTGGGAGGGTAGCTGGAGGCAAATAGTTGGATTGGAGAGAGATTTAGGAGGTGAGATGAACAGGGTTAGATAACAGACAGGAGACGGGTGGGGGTGAGGGAAGAGGAGTCAAAATGACTCCCAGGCTTGGTGCTTGGGTCTCTGAGCAGATGATGGGGCCGTTACTGGGTTAGGGGAGGAGAGGAAGAGCAGGTCTGGCGAAAGATGAGTTCCAGACAAGCTATGTTTAAGGTGTACATAGGGCCTCCAGAGGGAGGCGTCCAAGTGGATATAGAAGTGTGTGGCGCCTGGGAGAGGGGTCTGAACTGGTCAGCACAGAAATGGAGAGGAAGCCGTGGGGTATTATTAACAACAGTGAGGAATGGTAGAGGTTGCTCGGTTTGGGGTGCGCAGAACGGGGAGGGGGGGTGTCACGTGGTGGGGGTGCTCAGCCACAAGACTTCCTGGTCCCGAAGCCCGGCGCCGAGCCTACCCAAGGTCAGAGCCTGAGGGGGGTGTGGGTAAAGGTTGGGTAGGATGGGCGGGGGAGGGGGAGGAACCAGATTGGGCCCCTCTGGATTCCGCCCTCTCTCACTCCTCAGCCATTGGGCAATTACGCTGTCCGTCAGGTGCCCGCCTCCACGGATGAACCAATAAAGGGTGGCGAGAGGATGCTTCCTTCTCTAGCTGGATCAGCACAAGAGGTTCCTTCAGGGAGGTGAGTCCGGGGTGGGGGCAGCTGCGGCACCGTAGGCTGGCGCAGAATTGACTGACGGACCCGGCGGCTTTGGCGCAAGCGGGTGAGAGAAGGACCAGGGTGCGATGTAGGGAAGGGGGTGAGCGCGGGATGTGAAAACCTCTAACCTCGCCGGGTCCGCTCCGGCCCGCAGCATCGGCTCACGTGATGGGGTGGAGAGTGGAGGTGAGGTGAGGGGGCGGGCCCGCGGCGGACGGGGAAGAGCCTTGGTCACAGCTACGGTCACCCGTCTCGCGCGCACGCGCCACGTGGGTTCGCGGCCTTGCGCAGGGCCTTTGGCTGTGTACCGGGACTTCCGCAGTAGCTGTTTTAGCCCTCGGAGTACCCTCTGTGAGCTCAGCATCTCAACTGAATTCTCCTTTTTTATAGACCCGGAAGCTAGGGCTCAGGGACGTGGCCGCGCCAGGGTTTGAGGGAGATAGGGCTTGTTGGACTTAGGAGGCCGCGCTCTTTCTTATCTGTGAGGCTTGACTTTGGGATCTGTTTTCTTTAGATACGCGAAATTGTCTGGGTCCGGTCTGCGGCAGACCGCCTTGCGTCGGGCATCGCCGCCTGGCTTCTCTGCAGGGCTGGGGGTGGGGTTGGGGGGCAGGGGGGGGCGCCCTCTGCGCGCCCTGCCCGACCGCACCAGTTCGTAGTTCGGCGGGGTGGGCTGGGGAGAGTGGGCGGTCCTCAAGTGTGGGCACTCTCCACACCCCAACAGAAAAACTTGAGGAGGGCAGGATTCATAAACGAAATCTGAAAACACGTGGAAACTCTCCTCCCGGGTCACCAGAGAAAATAGAAAATAGAGCAGCTTTTTTTTTTTTTTGTCTAAGGAAAAATACCACCAGAGGCTGTTGAAAGTGCTTAGGAAACTGCTTCCTTCATGCCCTTGTGGAGGCAGATGTGAACCTTTTGGAACTCAGTTTGGCAATATGAGTCTACACCCTTTGACCTACTGATGCCAGCCTTGGGAAATAAGTAGGTTAAAACCTAAGTAGGGGGGCTTCCCTGGTGGCGCAGTGGTTGAGAGTCCGCCTTCCGATTCAGGGGACGCGGGTTCGTGCCCTGGTCTGGGAAGATCCCACATGCCGCGGAGCGGCTGGGCCCGTGAGCCATGGCCGCTGAGCCTGTGCGTCCGGAGCCTGTGCTCCGCAACAGGAGAGGCCACAGCAGTGAGAGGCCCGCGTATCACACACACACACAAAAAAACAACCCTAAGTAGGGGAAAGGTTGAGGCGTTAGGTGTTGCAGTTTGGTATTTTATAAGTAGAGACACAGTGGAAACAACCTCTAATCCCCAATGATACACCTAATGATAAAAGTAATAATACCTTTTTTGGAGCCGAAGGGTTATATTTCTTTAAACCGTCACAAAACCGTATGAAACTAATATTCCCATTCCACGGATGGACAACTGGAACTCAGGCAAGTGAAGTAGTGTGTCTGCTGCTAGACAGCTAGTATCATACCTAGTGTGCTTTTGGGCCTCTGAAATGGCCATGTTTAACCACTGTTTGAGGCATTCATTTACATACATGTAGAACAAGCTCTGGCCAGTTTTATTAAAGAAACTTTGCATGATTTACTTTTCACCAGTTTCTTCTGGCTTGTTTCTAATCATCACCTGGATCAGTGTACATACTCTGTAGTACTTTCCTCATGCTGTGCCCAATTCAATATTATTGCCGCTGTAGTGACGGACACCAGTTTTGGCCAACATGGTGTAGTACTCTAGTTCAGATTTCCTCAAGGCTGGGCCGTTGTTGGCGAGGAGGACCAGGTTCACTTTGCCTTGTCTGATCATCTTCAGAGTCTGCTTGTACCCCAGCACATACTTTCCACTTAACCATAACCAGCTGGAGCCTAGAATTGATCTGTCTCCGGCGACTTTTCCATCTTCTTTGCTGCCACCATCTTCCTGGTTTAGGTGCTGGATGGCGTCCAACAGAAAGCAGCCACCAAGATAGCTGGGGAGCAAGAAAGAGCTTATATTTAAATGAACACTTAAAGCCTACTGGGGAGAGTGAACGTGGGAGCTGAGCACAGGGCCCTGGCAAGGGAAAGGATTTGGGAAGGAGGAAAAGGTGGCCTCTGGGGTAGCCCTCAGTGACTCTTTAAGATCAGAGAGTGTTTAAAAACCCATTTTCTGAAATATGATTATATATTATAATGGGAGGTGTGGAGACTTGCTTAAGTATTTTGAGATTAAGTGTTTTCAGAAGTCATCATTTTTAAAAAATTAAATTTAAAACTTTCTTAAACTCTCAAATTTTCAGGTTTAAAAAAAAAACTTTTTGCTGAAGGAACACATTCGCTCATACAGTTTCAGAATGTCAAGTACTGTGTCCTACTGGATTTTCAATTCTGCAAGAAACAGCATTGCCACATTACAAGGGGGACAACGTTTATATTCAAGATATGCCTCAAATAGGATTAAATCAAAATGGAGGCTCTTTCCCCAGGGGCCAGTCACCCTAAAAAACAATGCCTCATGTGGTGGCATTGCTCTGCAGAAAGCCTATAGACACACATCAACAGAGGAAGATGATTTCCACTTGCCGCTCAGCCCTGAGCAGGTAAATGAAGTGCTGCGAGCCGGTGAGTCGGCCCACAAGATTCTTGACCTTGTCGGTGGAGTCCCAAGTTCGGTGTTGCGGTTTGAGAGCAACCAGCTGGCTGCCAATTTCCCAGTGGAGGACCGGGGAGGTGTAGCCGCCTGCCTGCAGACCAATGGGCTGATGTTTGGTGTCTTCGATGGACATGGGGGCCACGCATGTGCTCAAGCGGTAAGCGAGAGGCTCTTCTACTATGTGGCAGTGTCACTGATGTCCCAGCAGACGCTGGAGCAGATGGAGGGGGCGATGGAAAGCATGAAGCCCCTGCTGCCCATTCTGCAGTGGCTCAAGCACCCAGGGGACAGTATCTACAAGGATGTCACGTCAGTGCACCTTGATCACCTCCGTGTCTACTGGCAGGAGCTGCTGAACCTGCACATGGAAATGGGGCTGAACATTGAGGAAGCATTAATGTACTCCTTCCAGAGGCTGGATTCTGACATCTCGCTAGAGATCCAGGCCGCCCTGGAAGATGAGATGACCAGGAACCTTTCACTCCAGGTTGCTTTCTCAGGGGCAACAGCTTGCATGGCCCATGTCAATGGAGTTCACTTGCATGTGGCAAACGCTGGTGACTGCCGGGCCATCCTTGGTGTCCAGGAGGACAATGGCATGTGGTCTTGTCTGCCCCTCACCCGGGACCACAATGCCTGGAACCCAACCGAGCTGTCACGGCTAAAGAGGGAGCATCCTGAGTCAGAGCACAGGACAATCATCATGGACAACAGGCTGCTGGGTGTCCTCATGCCCTGCAGGGCCTTCGGGGACGTCCAGCTGAAGTGGAGTAAAGAGCTGCAGCGCGGTGTCCTGGAGCGGGGCTTTGACACCGAGGCCCTCAACATTTACCAGTTCACCCCCACACACTACTACACTCCACCTTACCTGACGGCCAGGCCTGAGGTCACATACCACAGGCTGAGGCCCCAGGATAAGTTCCTTGTGCTGGCCTCTGATGGCCTGTGGGATGTGCTGGGCAATGAGGATGTGGTGAGGCTGGTGGTGGAGCACCTGGCTGAAGTGTGTCGGCACAAGCCAGATCTGGCCCAGAGACCCGCCAACCTGGGACTCATGCAGAGCCTGCTGCTGCAGAGGAAAGCCCAGGGGCTCCACGCCACCGACCAAAACGCAGCCACACGTCTGATCAGATACGCCATAGGGAGCAACGAGTACGGGGAGACGGAGCCTGAGCGGCTGTCGGCGATGCTGACATTGCCGGAGGACTTGGCAAGGATGTACAGGGATGATATCTCTGTCACTGTGGTATATTTTAACTCAGACTCGATTGGTGCATCTTACAAGGGGAGTTAAGAGTCTCCCATCCTGTTGCCAAGGTTAACTTAAATGCTCTTCTAAGACATTTTCACTTACTCTTAAACTGGCTATTTAGACCTTGTTGTTAAAGGGCAGGCAGATGTAGCTTGCTTAATAATAGACTAACGTGACAGAAAAAACAGCCTAGGATTAAAAACAATAGTAGTGATTTTATGTCCCTGCATGTTTTGGTCACCTCTTCTACGCAGAAAGGGTGGAACACAGAGACCGTAGACTTGGCTGGGGCTCGTGTAACCCAAGTCCTTTTATAAATACACTGTTGTTAAACTGTGTCAGCCTGAGCCTGCGAAGTATAAAATTAATCATGATTCTAAGGATATGAAGAAGTTCAGGATCTTATGAGGTCTTGATACAAAAATCTGCAAAGTTGGTAATTCTCAATTCGTAATCATGGCCTTCTAGACTATGAAGGGAGGTTTTGTTTGTTTTTTATTTTGAAGTTCCTAAAGACCTAGGTTTACAAAGCATATTACAGGACACTTTTCTATGCAATATTCTAACTTTTTTGTGTGTATGATTTTACTTGTGAAAACATTTTGTAATGCTGCATTCTAGTTCTGATTTAGTTTATTTTAAAATTGAGTCCTCAAACTTGCAAACAGGCCTGCTCTAAGCGCGCATGCTTGGAATGAGTTTTCTTGGTTTTCAGCTGAGGGTGAAGGTGGCCAGGCCTCTGAACCGGCTGAATTTATTTGTGCAGCTTTCGGACTTTTCCACTGAGTCCCACCCCCTGAACCTTTGAGCCATGCTAGGAGCTTACTTCTGTCTGAGCCTTAACTCCTTTCCTGCATTAATAAAATTTCCTCCGGGGTTTAGTAAATCTCTGCAGATTTACTCATAGCACTTAACCTTTCTGATTATACCTCTCAGACATTCTTCTAATTCCACCTAATGTTCCTTCCCCCTCTGCTATGCTGAACTCCCTCACCCTGCTGCTGACTGTGCAATACTGTCTAGAAAGAATGCTCCCAATTCACATGGTTGCAGGGAAGGAGAAAATTCAAGATTGCATGTGGTAATTGTGACAGACAGTTTAGGCAGGACTGCTTATACAGTGGATTCTAGACTTAAAATTCAGCCTCAATCTGGAGAGGTAAAAACATGAAGGACCTGAGAACGGTCACTTAGTCTCCCTAGCTGCATGCATCCCGAGGGGCAGTGGGGAAGAGGGAGGAGTGAGATTTTTCAGATGGGACACTTGCCCATAGATTGTGGGATAAATGGCCATTGCTACTCCTCAGGAACTAGGCCTTATTTAATATAGGCGTTGGGGCAAAAACAAATGTAACCTGTACTGGCTTCTGTGGGCTGCACAGTCTGTGTTTATTTGAAAATTAAACCATGTGGATCCTTTCTGGGGGGATGAATTTCATGTTCTGAATTGCTGTAGCATTTAAACAACAGGAAATGTGTCCCTAAATGGAAACACAAATATAATCCCACAAAAACTGACACTTTTTATGTTCCTGCACTGTCTTCATTGATCGCTCTCCTCACCCCCTTTCGTACTGAAAGGAAAGCAAACAGCTAGGTTTGACTTCCACATTTTTGTCCACATTCAGGACATTCAAGTGTTGAGAAACTTCTAGCCTGCGGATACTTCCCTGTGCATTTACTGATATGGCTTCATCTAAGAAATTCTCCTTTGAGTGCTTAAGCCTTGGTCCTTTTATTCTGAAACTATTAATCTTCCTTCTGATCTCCTAGATCTTAACTCAGAAATAAAACGTGAATCCCTGTCATTCAGCTTGCATGACGGTTTGTTACTAGAGCCGAAGACTGCTTGTCTGACACCCTTGTTCTTTATGCGAGCTAAACCCTGGTGCACGCTCTCATTTACCGGGATTACAGGGTCTGAATCCTGTTTTGGAGCCTAGCTTGGGTCATAAATATACCTGATTAAGTAACCTGTGTGACAGTTGAGAGAATACAGACTTCCCACCTATTCCTTCAAGGGTATCTCTGTTTTTTCTCAGCCTAATAGATTTCCTGCTTTCTAATTGGTATATTGAGAGAGAGGAAAGGCTGGTTTCTTGTCTGCCTTTTGCCATTGTGAACTCTGTCTGCTCTTGCCATGAATGCTCCATGGAGCACCTCCTGGTTAAACCCCAGCATGTCTGATTCCCTGACCACAGTTCTGCTGTCACTGGCCTTCCTGAGGCACATGGACTACCACTTGAGGACACTGGGATTTGAGAGGGGGTTGGTGGTACTTTGTCAGGTCTTCGGAAACACTTATCATTCCTTTTATGTAAAGATTCTGATATTGAGACTTCTGAAATGAACTAAAAAAATGAGATTGAATCTTTAATGTTTAGGATGTCACTTTTGAATAAAGTATGCTTTGGTGCTTTAAACAGCATATTTACTGTTTTAGGTAAGAAATGGTAATATTGGCATGTTTTAGATATTGTTTTATATGTAAATAATACAGTTCTGCTGATTCTGGGGATTGGTCAAAATGGATAGAGAAGTTCTAAATTCAAGTTAGCATGCTAGGTCAAGTTACTTATTCAGTTTTCTGAGACGTTATTTGTAACCTTAAAGCTAATTTATTATAATGAAAGTGTAAACTTTGAGGTATGTTAATATATAAACATATTTTTCCCAGAAGTACGATTGGCCTAAAAGATCGAGTGGGTTAAGACTTAGTTTAGACACAACTGAGCTGACACCTTTTATATGAGGGAAATAGAAACAGCTCAAACTTGAATTAAAGAATAGAATGATTAACTGTATAGAACACGACAGTGTATCCAGAATGAGTCTAGCTTGACTCTTTCATCCATCAGCCCCTAGTGACCTATTTTTCGTTTGACAATCTTGGGGAAACCTTAACTTCCCAGGTTAAATCAGGATATCCTGGAACTGAGCTATCCTAGTTTCATTGTTAGTGGTTCATTTGTCGCTGAACATGACTCCCATAGCAGAGAATGCCCTGGTGTGGCTTTGAGGCTGGGGAATAAAGGCTGGTGGTACCGCTTTTTCCAGTGAGCTGCCACGTGTGTTACCAAGTGGAAAACACACATGGACTGCAGCGCGACTGTCTACTGAGCAGGCTGAGGCTCTGTTCCTGATGCCTTGGGCCCCTGACGTTTGGTTTAACTGGCCTCCTTGAAAATATTTCTTATCAAACATTTACTTGGAAAAATTATTAACCATGTTCTTTAATATTTACTGACATTGGTATTGTAAAGTGTATACCAATGTTTTTTTGACATTGATTTTCTAACCATGAGAGAGATTTAAATGAGATTTGTAAATAAGAGAGGAAAAGTGAGATTTGGTTTCTTTTGTTTTTGAATATTCGCATGTTGAAGGTCCTTAGGGTACTAGATTAGGCCAGCCTTTGTTTCACCGCCTTTGTCTGGCCTGTTCAACAGTCCACCCAAGAGAGAAATTTTCTTTGCAAATTTTCGATGACTGCTGAGCACACAGGAAGTCCTTGCTTAATGTTAACAGTGTGGGAAGCTGAAAAGAATGAAAAGGAAGTGTGAAGGCTTTTGTTGTGAGGGTCTCCACACACTCAGGGCCAAGGCCTGCTGGGATTTCACATTATTTAACTGGCCTTGTAAAACCAGCTTCTTTGTTAATCTTAAATTCAGAGCCAGCTTTGGGGAAGATGCCTAGTTAGCTACCTAGATAGAGTTGAAGACCCCACTCCATCCCGCCCGCACTGACTTTTATCTCATTGCCTCTGCGTGATACAGCTCATAAGGACAGCTCCAATGGGTGCTTCTTAAAATGCAAATACAACTATTAAGTTGTTAAATTTAGTATGGGCTAGGGTGGTTAAACTGGGCCTTGAGGAGGAGCAGATTTGGGGGAGAGAAAGATAGAAAAGGGAATGTCTGAGGTCTGCTAAGGGTAATGGAGGAGCTGTCTCCTTCTTTATAACATGATGAAAACAGGCCCAGAGGCTTGAAAACTTGCCCCTGACACTGTGGTAGGGCAGGAATTTGAACCAAGTCCACTGTGCTGTGCACATGTCCCAATACTGGGCTTTCAGAAAGGGATAATAATGCAGGGAAAATCTCATGGCCCACTTTTGGCACAGGGTGTGTGGGTGGAGAAGTAGGGCTTGGTGACAAGAAGCTAGATGAATAACCCATGCATTCCAATATCCCATCATTTGGAACTCGAAAAACATAGAGGGAAAACAGGGAGAATTAAATTTTAAACATTGCGCTCTTTAACTAGAGGGGGAAGTCAATTTATACTGTTCTTTTCACCTCTAGAGTTTTTGCTTCCATTTTATTTGATGCTACTAAATGGCCTTAAGTAGTTCCCAGGCTAGTGACCCTCTGTATCGTGGGTAGCTGGCACTCCAAGCAGCTCCCTCTGGGATGGATGGGTGAACCTCTACTGGACCTCCATGGGTCATAGTGTGTTTGTTCCATTGAGCCCTGACCTTACCTGTTCCTGGCTGGGAGGAGCAAGTGGGGATTAAGGGGGCCAGAGTTCCCCTTCCGACTTTCACTGGCGATGGAATAAGTGAAACCAAACAGGACCCTGTGGGGCCCCCTGGATACAAAAGCTGCCCCCCCCTCCCGTCTCCTGTTTTTTATTTGTAGAAAAGGCCCTGGTCTCCTAGGCTTTCCCAGAGTTCCAAAGAGCGGCACAAGAGTTACTAATTAGGGAAGTGAGGGAATTCAGAAACAAAGGAAAACCAGTTAAACAACAAAAGTAATGACAATAGCTCATGGATAAAACAGTTCCTCCTCAAGGTGAATATGTAGCAATCTGACACTTAGCTTTGAGTTGTTCTGAAGGAACTAAACCCCACCCCACCCCCCCAGGTGGAGAATGGTGACTGCGTGCTCACCGCAAGCACTGTGGACCTCAGACTGGTTGGAACCAGAAGGCGGATGATTGAGATTACCAAGACGTCACCCTGGAAATCCCTGCCCTTTCCCCAAAATAGTTGGAATAATCCTCCCACTTATTAGCCTATGAAATTACCCAGCCCATAAAAACTAACCACCTAGGGACTTCCCTGGTGGTACAGTGGTTAAGAATCTGCCCGCCAATGCAGGGGACGTGAGTTCGAACCCTGGTCCCGGAGGATCCCACATGCCGTGGAGCAACTAAGCCTGTGCGCCACAACTACTGAGCCTGCGCTCTAGAGCCCGCGAGCCACAACTACTGAGCCCGCGTGCTGCAACTACTGAAGCCCACGCGCCTAGAGCCCGTGCTCCAGAACAAGAGAAGCCACCGCAACGAGAAGCCCGCGCACCGCAGTGAAGAGAAGCCCCTGCTCACGGCAACTAGAGAAAGCTGGCGCGCAGCAACAAAGACCCAATGCAGCCAAAAGTAAATAATAAAATAAATTTTAAAAACCCCAAAACCAGAAAACTAACCACCCCGTATTTCGGGGCCCCCTCACCTTCTGCCTATGGAAATGTGTATCTCTGCTTCCACTTTACTATGGCTCGCTAGCTCTTGAATTCTCCCCTGCATGAAGCCAGGGACCCTCGCTTGGCAGCCCATCCCAGGAACTCGACAGAGACCTGGGACGTGACCATCCTCTCAGGCCCCATTTTCCTGCAGCCTCTTTACAAAGGCTATTAATAAATTTACTTCTTACCTGTCACTTTGC